CCCCCAAATCCCCAAAAGTGTCTCAGCGGATTTGGGCTGTACTCAGCAAGTGCACTACAGCCCCCAACTCAGATTTGAAAAACAATCAGTGGATGTCTGCTTTCTGACTGGTCGGCAGACCGCCGACCAGTCTGCCCTACTGGTCAGCTGGAAAACGGTCAGCGGTCGGGGTCGGCGGTCGGCGGCTATGCAACCCTGTATATTTATGTATATATATTGTCACAGAACTATTGACTATATATGCAAGGAAGAAAAGGACAGACCTGTTCCTTCTTGAGCTCCAAGTTGAACTCCAGCATGCTTGTGTCAGAGAAGGGCATTAATGAACGGCCATGCAAATAATAACCAGCATACTTGCTCTGCATAAGAACAAAGGACCAAATGCGCAGTTCGCACAGTGACTCGAACAGTCAATACCAAACCATTTATCAAAATTTTAACATACTAGTTTATGAACTTTATGTAAATACTAACTTCCAATTACCTCAGTTCACAATCCGCACAGACATAGGTCAGGGTCGTAACTTTTGATCCAAGTCCAGATTCAGGGGTCAAAAGTTGCATTTCTTGTCTTAGAGGGTTCTGAGAAAAGTCCTAGGGTCAACACGACTCAACAGGTACTCGGTCCAGGGTCAAATGAGGCTGCTTGCATGCAAGCCTGCAAGGCAGTTGACTCAAGGAAAATCAGGAGTCAGGCCCAAACTCGGGAGGAGTAGGACAAGAGTCAGAGATTTCATGAGAGTAATGATCTGATGCACAGTCAAAGCCTGTCTGCACTGCTCCAGAAGTTCCAACGACCTACTTGGTTCAGGCACACATTGGCCGACAGCAAATCTGAGCTGCCCAGATCGAGAAATCTCCCTCCTTCCCTCCCTCTGCCCCTCCCTCTGTTCTTCCGCCTTCCCTCTGTCCGTCGGTCTGTCCCTCCCTTCGTCCCTCTGTCCCTCTGTCCCTTTGTACCTCCGTCCCTCCGTCGGTTCCTCCATTCCTCCGTCCGTCCCTCCGTCCGTCCCTCCGTACCTCCATCCCTCCGTCAGTTCCTCCATCCCTCCCTCCGTCCCTCTGTCAGTCTGTCCGTCCCTCCCTCCCTTCGTCCCTCCGTCCCTCTGTTCGTCCCTCTATCCCTCTGTCTCTCCCTCCGTCCCTCCCTCCGACCCTCCATCCGTCCCTCCCTCCGTCCTTCCGTCCCTCCCTTCGTCCCTCCGTCCCTCCCTCGGTACCTCCGTCCCTCCCTCCGTCCCTCCCTCCATCCCTCCCTCCGTTCCTCCGTCCCTCCGTCCCTCCATCCCTCCCTTTGTCCCTCCGTCCCTCCGTCCTTGCCTCCATCCCTCCCTCCCTCCCTCCCTCCGTCCCTTGTTCCCGATGTCCCTCCCTCCATCCCTCCGTCCCTCCATCCATCCCTATGTCCCTTCATCCCTCTCTCCCTTTGTCCCTCCCTCCCTCCCTCCCTCCATCCATCCATCCATCCCTGCGATTGCCCCTTCCTCGCTCCATCCATCCGATCGTCCGGATCATCCCTCCCTCCCTCCATCCATTTGTCGCTCCCTCCCTCCCTCCCTCTGTCCATCATCCATCCATCCGTCCATCCCTCCATCCCTCCCATAGTCCCTCCGTTTCCTCCCTCAGTCTATCCCTCCTCCATCTTTCTGTCCCTCCATCCGTTCGTCCCTCCCTCCCTCCTTTCGTCTCTCCGTCCCTCCCTCTGTCCCTCCCTCTGACCCTCCCCCCATCCCTCCCCCCATCCCTCCCTCTGTCCGTTTGTCCCTCCCTTCCTCCATTTGTCCCCTTCGTCCCTCTCTCCCGCCGTCCCTCCGATCATCCCTCCCTCCCTTCATCCCTTTGATCGTCCCTCCCAAGCCTCCCTCCCTCCATCCCTCTAATCGTCCCCCCCTCCCTACGTCCCTCAGATTGTCCCTCTGAGAGTCTCTCCCTCCTTCCCTCCATCCATCTCCATTCCTCCCTTCATCCCTTTGTCCATTCGTCCCTCCCTCCCTCTGATCCTCTCTCCCTCCCTCCCTCCATCCATCCTCCATCCCTCGCTCCATCCCTCCAATCCTCTCTCCCCGATCCTCTCTCCCCCCTCCGTCCCTTCGATCCTCTCTCCCTCCCTCCATCCATCTCCCTCCCTCCCTCCATCCATCCATCCATCCATCTCCCTCCCTC